TTTCCTTCTGCAAACCTCACTTATTCTTTATTGTGCCCAAGCGCTTCTTCCCCTCCTGGGACCCCATTTTTGGCTCTCTTGCTTTCTCTGCCTGCTGCCTGGGTGCTGATAAGGGCAGCACTGGGGGTTCTGGTCTCACACCGTCAGCAGTGGTGCCCCGTTCCTGGTCCTAGCCCAACCCTTGGACACCCCATATCTTGGCACGTCTACGTGGCAGGAGGATTGGAGATAAGGGAAATGCGTTGGTGAGGCAATGCTGGGAGCGACACCCACCTTCTTGTGCCAAGTATTCATTCTCGATGATCCTGGCCAGGCCAAAATCAGCAATTTTGCAGCAGAGTGTCTCTGAGACGAGGATGTTGGCGGCTCTCAAGTCGCGGTGGATGGAGTTCATTCGCTCGATGTACGCCATTCCCTCTGCCACCTAGGAGAGGAGGAAAAGTCCATCTTCATCAGTTGCCTCTCCATGACAACAAGCTTGCCTGCACCTTACCCACCTTTACAAAAGCACAGTGTCCATACAGGGTTGCTCACATGCCTCCATGTGCATGGACATGCATACATGCTCCATGGATGGATGGAGGACAGATGGATCAACAGATAGATAGATAAACAAGTAGATGGATACACAAATAGATACTGCCTGTGTATATGTGTATGCGTGCAGCCCTACCAGCGTGCACCGGGCCTCCAAAAGCTTTAAGCAGCCAAGTCAAGCAGAACCGAAGCATCACTCTCCGTTTTGCTCAGAAGTTACAGCCGTGTCTGCAGCGAGATGAAGAAAGTTGAAGCAAACCTGAAGCCATATCACTGGATTCCCAGTTTCTTCCACAAGACTCTCCCCTCTAGTTGGGATTTTAAATACAAACACTCCAGATTAAATACGTGAATTTAAAAAAAAAAAAGAAGAAAGAAAAAAACACTCAAAGAGCTCATCTGTCCCTCAGTCACAGTAGCGAAGGCCAGACCTAGGACAACTAGGTCTTCTTCAGCAACCTCCTCTGTTCTCCCTCACTGCTTTGGGATGGGGAGGAGACCCCTGGAGATCCCTTCTCAATAGAACAGCCTAGTGTTTTCTTTCCCTCTGCTGGACTAGGACCCATGACACAATACAGTGCCCCTCTGATACCTACAGGATGCAACAGAGCAGAAGAACCAGATATTCATAGAAATATGATGGGACAGACAGGATGTCCCTGGACAAATCTCTTGTCCTGGGCATGTACTACCTTCTTCAACCATCTCCAAACTTTACTTTGGGAGGTTCTTGCTCCCAATATCATCTTTTACTGTTCGGCTCCCTGGATCATGCAGCAGCCCTGGGGAGGTGCCCAGTGTGTGATGAGCCCCTGTAAATAACGTCAGCAATCTTTTATTGCAGGGCGCTGAGAGATACAGAAAAAAAAAGGAGATTGTGAAGTTGCTCTACCATTCGAGTCACAGATTTGGGTTAGGCGTCTATCAGGAGGGCGAGTGGATGCACGCAAGCCCTGCTAATAATGGTTAGTACATATTAAAGCTTTTATGTGCCTGTGGGTGAGGGCAGAGCAATTTTCCACTCCATACAGATTCACATCAGTATCTCAACTTACATGTGGTTTCAAACAGGATACTAACACATACTTTCCAATGCTGCATTTCTAACCTGTGTCAACACCCCTTCAGCGCAAGTAGTGTTTGCTGCAGTGGAAAATGGAAGAATTGATGTAATTTCCTGTCCTGATGTTAATGAGATAGTACCCGGTGACGGGCCCGTTCCAGCCCAGCGTGCTTTCGAGCATGTACCCTCGAGACTGACCACAGGATCAAGTGCATGGGCCCAGAGTTTTCTAATTTTAACTCCAACGGATGCTATTGGATCCAAAATTGCGCTCGAGAGGGTTGGGTGCCTGTTGGGCCCTGATGTCATCCCGACACCGCAGATGAACAGATAGCAAAATAGCTCAAGAGAACTGCTCTTTTCCTCCTCCTCCTCCGGGAGCTACCCAGTGAGTGTTTGAATCCCTGCCCTGGGGAGGTGATGCGGGGTGGGAGGGGGAGTGATGAAAGCTGTCCTTCTGACTGACGTCCATGTCTTGAGGCATGGGCAAAGTCCTTCCTACCCAAGGTGCTGAGGGTGGCTTGTGTGGGTTATGACATTGCTGGGGTGTAGGGATTTGGTCTGCGTTTGACTATTCTGGTCCTGGAAGAGGTGTGTGCTGCAGGAGCATGGAGGGATGTGAGAAGAGTGTGCAAGGTGCTGAGTGCTTCCAGGTGCCTATGGAGAGGTGGTGTCCACATGTAATTGCTCAACCCCAGTGATGGTGCCCACTGTGGGCACTATTTGGCCACTGTAGTGGACAGGATTCTGGCCAGCTCAGGCCGTGCTATGTGACCATATTCAAGACTTCGACCCTGAACTTGGAGAGGAGGTTTGAGTGCACGAGGTTGGCCTGAGACGGGTTTCTCCCAGGGGTTCCTGCAGCTAGTGTGTTGTCTGACCTGTACCACCCTCATGCCTGGACAGACGAGATTACTGACCTCTCCCCAGATACTTCCACACACCTGCCTGGAAATGCTTTGTTAATCCACGTGCTCAATGCAAGTTTTAATGTTGTGTTAAATAAATGGGTGCGTACTCATAGCTTCTGCTGTCCCTGCCTCAAATCTGGGTATAGTGTTGGCCAACAGCTTTGCTCTGGGCCACCCCTGTGACTATAGCTGAGCGCAGATTGCTCTGGCTACAGCACTTTCCTCTGGCATAGAAGGGCTTCCAGCTAATTTCTGGGGTAGCACTGCCACCAACCCCAAGGGCTCTGCAGTACAGATGAATTTGGACCATTCTGCTTATGATCGGGAATTTAAAACAAACCACAGGCTATGCCTGTCAAGAAAAGGAATGAAAGAATGAAAAAAGGAAGGAGGGAAGTGGGGAGCTAAAGAGAGAAGGAGGGAAGGAAGGAAGAAATTAAGGAAAACAGGAACAACACTTTTGGCCCCATAACCTTTCACAGACAACAAAGATAAAGCTGCAGATACAGAAGATTTATCAGTAGAGAAGAAGGCAGGCATTGAAACGTGTTCCTCTGCCCTGTTAATAAGGGTGCAGAGGAAAATAAAACTGGGGACACTGCTTTAAAATATCCAAATATTTTCATCCTGGTTAAACCAAGAAGGAAAATCTTTCGCTATCATATAACGTTTGCCCAAGTATTAAGATTCTCTACTTTTTAATACACTATAAAATAACTCTGGATGATGGCTGGAATGAAGTGGCCAGCCTTTACAAGTTGTTTGCTCAGGCTCACTTTGACCCAGAGAGGATGAATGATCTTATGGGTAAATCCCAGACCTGCACATCAAAATAACTGTATTCAGCCATGACACTGATGCTTCATGGCTTTTTTCCAATATTTCCAAAATTAGTGTAGCTCTGCAGTGGGCGAGCCAAACTCTGTCAAAAGCTGGCTAGGACCAAAGCAGAGTGATTTTGCCAATCTCATTTTTCATACACAGCTTGTTGCCAAGATGCTGCCGCTCTGGGTCGCCGTTTACCTAACTTTGACCCGTTTGAGTTTAGATTCACTTCTGGGTTAAAATGTTATGGTGCAGCTGCAACTACTAACATTTACAGCCTGGGGACGCTTAGAGGGAAACAAGCCTACAAAGGCAAAAATGTGTTCTCATAAGGAGCAATATTCCCAGATTTGAAGGCCTTTATGCCTAATCATGAGAAGGGAAGAACTGCTGAAAGCCAGCGTGTCCCTACATCGAAAGCCTCTTTGTTGAGCTTTTTCTCCCTTTTGGTAAAAAGAGAAAAAAAAACCAACTTATTTCCTGCTCAGCAAGGCAGAAAAAACAAACAAACCCCTCCCAAAATGTAACACACCCCCAAAAAAACCAAAACCCAAACCCCAGTTGTCTAGCACTGAACTAAGTTCCCCAGAGGCTGTCCTAAGGCCAGCAGAGCGTTGCTGAGCTGACATGCACATCAAGGCGAGAGGGCTGAGAGAGAAACCCTGAGAGAGCACACCAGGAGGTGCTGTTTTTCTCCGTGAAAGCGATGCTCTGACAGACTTCAGACTTGCAAGAATTTCACTGAGGCAATAACAAATCATGGCCTTGAGTCTGTTTCCCAGAGGCTGTTCAACTAACCTGAGCAGACATATCAATGAGTTTGGGGAGGTTCAGTTGGCTTCCTTCTTCTGTCTTCAAGAAATCCAGCAAACACCCTGCAAAAGAGGAGAGATTGCTGTAACTCTTCTGAATAAGTCTATACATTCACTTTCCCTGGTGCTTCTCAGAATATATTCAACAAATCTGCCTGCATCCTAGAGAAAATCCGAGGACCCACAAAGGGTGTTTGCTGGAGCATCTTCCATTAGGAAAGTTCCCAAACACAACCCATTTCCCCCCTCTATTTTGCACAGACCTTTTGCAAACTGCTGGGATTCGTCACTCAAAGCCTTATAGACAAGAGGGACAAAATAAAGGACAATTTCACCATGAGGGGAGCAAAAATCTGAAACAAACTGCCAGTAGGAACAGTGGAGATGAGAACTTTAAATACTCTTCAAATGAAGCATTGCCATCTTGTGAAGTAGCTTATGAAATATGAGACCACAAGAGGCAGAATTTCGTCACCCAGAAAGTCCCTTCCAGTACTAGAAACAAACTTGTAGATCACTTAGTCCTTCAGCTTACATATTTGGTACAATGCCCTCCTATCCATCCCCATAATGATGGGAGTACCAGCCCCCTCATTGACCTGATTTTGCAGAAAACCAACAAAAAACTCAATGAGGCTCTTTACCATTGGCCATGTACTCTGTCACAATGTAGATAGGCTGCTTTGTGACCACTGCATATAGCCGGACCAGTTTGTTATGCTGAAGCCTCTTCATCAAGTTTGCCTCTGCCAAGAAAGCATCAGGATCCATGCTGCCCTCCTTCATGGTCTTCACAGCCACCTTGATGTTGTTCTTGTAGTAGCCTGTCACAGAATCACAGAGAATCACAGAATAGTCAGGGTTGGAGGGACCTCTGGAGATCATCTCGTCCAATCCCCCTGACAGAGCAGGTTCACCTACAGCAGGTTGCACAGGATGACATCCAGGCAGGTTTTTAATGTCTCCAGAGTGGGAGATAATGATGCGTTGAGGAATTTTGGCCTCTCTACAGGCTCTATCAGGCCATGCAACAAAGAGCAGAAGAGCTTGTGGATCAGGGAGCGGAAAACCACAGCAATAGTTATCAATCTCCCAACAAGAAACAAATGGAAAATTTCAGTGCCAGTGGGCTCTGAGCAACCAGTAGGTATGAAAGAAGGGAGAGACATGGCACAACTATCAATCCATGTGGCTCCATCAGGGATCATCCCTACTTTGGGTCGTGGACACCCACATGATAAGCCCATCCTCACGCAATCCTCCCAGCCCTGCAAGATCCTTTCTGGGTGAAACCCCTGGGACGTCCCACCAGCTAGGTTCTCAAATAATCCAAATGTCATCGAAAAAGCCAGGACACTACAGTCAGGATGTCGACTCAGTCTGGTTCTGTCCACAATCTCAATTTCCAAGGCAACAAGCAACCACAAAGAGGACAGCAAAGGAAAATGAACTCACCCATTTCCTCTCCCACTGATTAGCAGTGGGCAGGAAGACGTAACAGATTCAGATTTGGGTTATAAAGTGGGACAGGGAAGCAGAAAAAATGGGATAGTGTCACCCAAGTACTCTGCTGTGTGTAGCTTAGGATCCTACAACCATGCCCAGGATTCCCAAGTATAATGAGAACATGTCTTAGGAGATGAGTATACAGACACTTGAACACCCCTTGCATGCATCTTGACTATGAAAGCCATGCCCAACCACTGATCAGTGCAAACACAACCTGTCTGGTCTTTCTCAGGAGTATGGCATCTACTGCTGCTTGTGTACCCATAAATATGTGTTTATGATCCCCCCATTCAGA